TTTCTTAATTGTTGATAAATACAAACTGTAAGCACATGTTCTTTAGAAACAGGTGCTATTACCTCCTCCAGCAATATCATCATAATTACAACAAGTTCAGGTGGGTAGCTGCATCAGCATGCGTAGGCTGCAAAGGAACAAGTAATAGGTTTATTCCATGCTGAAAAAAAGAAGAAAGAGAACACAACGTTTCAGCCGTGGACCCTTCTTCAGGTGTCAGGTATAATAATATTATATTGTTATATAAAAAACAACAACAATAATAATTCTTCTTTTAACTGATTTGCTGATTGAGGAGGTAGGTAAACATATTCTAAACAGATTTTTGGTTTGTTATTTTTTTCAATTTTCCTCACACAACCACAACTCATGGCTTCTTTTGGTGAGTGGCTTCTTGTTCAGCTCTTGCAAATCCACCTGTACTGAGATATCTGGGAATTGCTTTTCAGACTTACCTATTTCACGGGCAGGATAGAATAATCATGTTCACAGCTCCCTATAATACAGTATGTGGACTTGGCATGAGTTCCAGTGCTTGCCATTTTTGCAGTGTCTATATTCTTTTCAGATGTCATATGAGCATGTGCTCATTTTTTCTTAATGAGGCCTGGTGCTTTTATTTGTCAGTCCTGTCATTTATGTCACTGTGCACTCACACCATTCAGCCTCAGCCCCTGCACTTTGTGCAGTCCAGACAATTTTAAAGAGTTAGCATGCCAAGCACTCCAGCTTTTAAGTTTTTACAACAATCCATTCAACAATCCATTCCATGCAGAAATGTTGTATTTGCTCTTTTGTTCAGCAGTCTGGTGGATGAGTAGCCGCTGGATCACCTTCACTGCAAGGGCTTTCGTGAAGTGTACCAGAAGGCAAAATACCAGGTCCCATCTCACACACAGCAACTTTGGTAGGATGAAAATTGGTACTCTTACATCTGAGTCCCCATCTTCAAGACACTTTCTCCTAACCTTGACCCATTTACACATCATTGGAGGTAACATGTAATGGAAATATGTATTTAAGGTCCTTGCTGTGTCCTCTGTGTAGTCTGTGCTTTGTTTAAGGTCGATCGAGCTAGGAGAGAGAAACATTAAACAAAACTAAATTAAACAGGCACATAAAATGTATCTAAACATTTGGATAAAATATAAATAGTACTGAATAGTACTGTATGTAATAATTGTGATAACTAAAAGCTACATACAGTATTTATTGCACAGCCAATTTCAAGCAATGGTCTGTGTTGTGGACATACAGTAAGACTGTGGCAATTCTGTATTGGCAAGGGTTATTTTCTAAGGTATGTGTCCTGTCAAGTGAATATTAAACCACCCTGTCATATAAAGGAAGAGAAACTAACCTTAGGTTTGCAATCACTGGACAATTGATGTAATCTGTGGTCAGCAGATTGCTATCCGGAGCTCTTGGCTTTGTGACAATCCATGGTGCTTGTTTTTCCATGAAGGTCAGGCGGCTCCTTCCTGATTTATTTCTTCCTTATCTAAAGCTCCAAGCATTCCAACTACCAATTTAAACAGGATAACCCCCTTTTATACATATACCAATATTTTTTTTTCTTTTCTTCAAGGCAAAAAGATAACAGGTTCAAGGTCCAAAAGCAAAGATATCAATAGGGCCTTGTAGCTAGTAAACACAGATAA